ATCATCCACAGTCTTACCCCAATTATGTTGTCCTGCTCCATCCTATTATTAAATATCAATTTATTAATTGTGGATTTACATAAATATATAAATGAGTATATCTATACTTATTCAACAGAAACGTTACCTTTTTTACCATACCACGAGGATCCGTAAATCCATTTCTTTAAAACATGATTCAGAGAATTTAATTTTTAACAAAACAAAATAGTATAGTAATAATAGTATGGTAATATTAATATTATTATTTGTTACCTTTGAGGATGGCGGTCATGTTTAACAACACTAGGTGTAGATTGTTTTGTACGAGTCATTTTTATGATTATGATTTATTTATATATAAAATATTTTAACAGAGATATAGTTATTTTGTATTTATTATTTAATGAAATATTTTTTTGATGGAATATGAAAATTTTTTTTACTTTGGTGGGAAATTAATTTATATTTATACCACTGTAAAAGATCTACAATATAGTCATGATTATTATGATGTAAAAAAACAATGTGTCAGATGTTTATTTATGGCGTGTTTGCAAATAAAACGATCAAATGATGTCACACTATATTTTTAATATAATTTTGGTCCCCAAAAGAAAAGTAAACCCAATAATAATAAATTGGCTTAATAAAGTACCCTTGCATTAAAGCATCTTTTGGATAAGCTGACCTTACATTTTTCAGCTACTAAGCCTTGCAAGCATCCTTTCCGGGGTAGTAGGTTTTTTGTTTTGAGAAATATACTTGCAAAGATATTTTTCCTACTTTCTAAACGATACATGGGGTTATTTATCCCTATATAAAAAAAAATATAACGTGTCCAAAAATTACAGCAATATTAGAAGCATTTTAAAAAAGAACAAAACGAGAAAATAGCTCCTTGTATACTAATACTCGAGCACTTGAAAATTGTTTAAGGAAAGAGAAGTCACTTATCAAGCTTACTGAGAAAAAAATAAAAATAATGAAAAAAGCAGCAATTACTTGATAACAAATGTAAAACTTTGGAAAAAGAAAAACAATATCAAATGATGGTGGAAGTTAAGGAATCTAACGATTACAGTTGTATTATTTGATATGTTATATGAACTATATCTACCAAACAATAAAACAACGTATGATGCTTTATCACACTTATATTAAAGCGCTTCTAAACGGTGATATGCTTTTAATAAAATAGGCGTATTGGAGTTGAATAGCCCAATATTTGTTGCATCTTCTTTTCAGATTAAAAAATCGGTCTTGCAAGTCTCGGTGAAATCGTCTCCATCGTAGAAGTTATCCATATATTCATAGCATTTGTTATTCTAAAACTTTTGTAAATAAGCATTGGTATAATGTTTTTCAATTGAGCATAGCTATGTGATAATTAGTATCAAGTATAGAACAAAAAAACTCTTGCAGATCAATTCAAAAATTCTATATATTTCTTTTTTATTATTTGATCTCCTAATCAACGCTTAGCTGATTTTCCTTAAACCCCTTTGACTCAGTTAGCTCAATCTCCTGTATCCAACAAGGATATCTTTGTTCATCTTTAAATAGTCAAAATCGAAGGACATATATTTACGAGGGACCCTACTCATCACCATATAAATCTGACATGTCAAATTGGTTTAAAAAAAGAGAAAGTGATCAATTAATCGACCGATACTCACGTCAAGTCGAGAACTTTTCAGGGCAAATTTGTCAACAACCTACATAATTGCATTTGGTTCGATCTTATGAGAAGTGATCGACGAATTCGTTGTCATCACATCTACATGTATCGATCCCGGTCAAAGCAAAGGTGCCAGAGACTGTTTTGATAAAGGAAAACAGATGTCATTTATTATTATCATTATTTATTGAAAGGGTGGTTTTTTTTTGAAAAGATTGAAAAAAAAAACATCAATCAACTTTATTTGCATCAAAAAAAAAAAACTTGACTTGTATATACAACAAAATATTACGCTTTTATGGAGAAAATGTTAAAATGTTTGAATGTCATTCAACTTCTTAAAACAAATAAATAAACTAGATTTAATATCAAAACACTGAAGGTTTTTCTTTGTAACATTGGGTTATATTTAGTCCTGTGATAGTGTGATGGTAAACTTTTTACAACTACGTTTGAATTTGGTGTGTCCTGAAATCATTATTTTATTCTGGTTGCCAGGTAATCTCTTAGATACTCTCAAGGTTTCCGGAAACCTTAATCCAAATGAGAGCATTGATTCCATCAAAAAACTATGCAAATTGTACATTTCCTACCAGTTCATCTTCATAAGAACATAATTACTTGGTTCCTTTGTAATTCATCTTGAATAACGAATAGATGGACCTTTTGAGGACTAAGATAATAGATCTTATTTACCTCATCAGGAAAAATTTCCAACGCAATATTACACTCATAAGTTATATATAACAATAATGGATGATTTTTTCATTTCGTTTTAATTCTTCACAAATAAATATCTGAGCAAACATCGTGCGGTCAAACGAATTATAATTAAATTCGTAATAACGAATTTTAAATGCAATTTTCTCGTCCATGTATGGGTTTGACTATAATATCCATATATATTGTTAAAATGTGAAATCTCCATTTTCGGAATTTTTTAATCTGCCGTTAATATTAAATTTATTGATGCTATTTAAACATGTCAAAGTTGAAATTAAGCAAAAAAATTTTTTTGTTCCAAATAAATTCAATCGTGTAACAATTTTTGGAAATTTAGAAATTCCGTTAGACAGGTATTATTAATATGAACAAAAAAATTGTTTAGATGTCGCACCCAAAGGGATTGACTATGCCTTAAACACTAAGTGTGTTGATAGAAGGGTTGAACCCCAATTCCGTCCTTATCGAGGGGATTGCCAACTATCTCTCCTTTCTTATCAACACATTTATAATTGTGATGATTTTGGAATTTATATTCATCCTGAACCCTATTGTTACATATTATGGGATCTGAATAGACTGTGTATAATTTTTATTTTAAAATTTTTGTGTAAATTTTTTTCCCTTGGTTTTAATTAATTATTATATACAACTAATAGGTTTGCTATAAGACGTTAGAAGAATAATCGCATTTATATATATAATTGAATATATAAATAAATGTATTTGCAAAAAGAATTATATACAAAGAAGTATAAAGAAATTTTTTCTGTGGTGCTTGGAAGAATTGCTGTGCCACTGTGCCATTCAACAAAGTTTGGTCATATCGTGGATTAGGCTATTTTGGTCTTTACCTTTAGGTATAAGTCCAAAATATTGAATTTTGCAGGTAATTGACCCAAAAGGGTGTGGTTATCTCGCAATATATTCAAAGTTTTTTTGTTTACCCTTTTTAAAACATTCTTTATACTTGCACTACAACAAGAATTATATTGATAAAAATGTTGGTTGGTATATATATATTTTTTTTTTTTGACAAAATTTTTAATAATAAATAACTTATTTTTTTGTATTATGGATAAATGGTTTGCACAAACAACTAAACATCAATATTATAAATATATGTTATATATGTTAGGAGGTAAAAATGGGTTGACTTTATTTTTAATGTTTGTTTATTCCTTAATTTAATGTTTCTTCTTGTAAATTCCACTAATCATTGTTATTTTCCTATTATATTCAGTTATCATACTTACATGATCATCTAAATTTAATCCATCTTTCAAACTCATTATATTATCAATGCCTGTTTCACAATACATTTATTTTTATCATCTCCAATCTTCTTAATGTTCGTGATTTTTGTTCCTTTATTATTTTTTAGAAATCACAAGATGGATGATTTTGATGATTTTTTCCATGATTTTAGAATGATAGATATTAGTTTCTACATTTCAATCTTAAAATTTTTCAAGGATTCATTTATTACCTATTTAATTATATGGTAAATCTTTTCAATTAATTAATTTTATTAATACATTAATGATATTTTCTTTAAAATATCATATTATTATTTTTTTCTTTGAATAAATCTAAATATTTATTAATTATTTCATACCTTTTCATTAATTGTTTCACCATTTTAATATTATCTCCATTAAATATTTCATTATCTTTTAAATTAATATATTCATATTCATTATTTCGTTATCTTTAAATATGTCTTCTAATATCATCTATTACCACTTTTTTCATTTTTTTTTCATTTACAACCTTTTAGATTCTCTAGATTCATTTTTTACTATTGCTGCTTTTTTTTTTTTTTGATTTTCTAGATTCATCTTTTACTACTGCTTTTTTTCTCTATATTCATCATATTCATTTACTAGAACCTTTGTTTTTCTTTTTTGATATATATACATTGCTTTTTCAAAATCCATCAAATCTTTTTTTGATTTTGTGTGAACTCCCTATTATTATTATTATACATTAATGTTATTAATCATTATTATTTATATTACATTTTTGCATTTACCTCAACTACCCAAATTTTGCCTTTATTAAAAATCATCATAATTTTCCATAATAAATCTATTAAAATATAGTTTCACTTAAATCTGTTGACAATTCTACAATCCTACACAGTTCATTTTCTATATAATGAACCATTTGGCTTACGAAAAAATGCCCATTGTAAAGAGAATCTGTTATAAACAATAATGATTTATATATGGACATATAAAGCGGGCTTAAATTTTCAGCCCATTATAACACAAGATCCATTTCAGTGAGAGTGGACTGTAATATTTTTCTGAATTATATGTTTTGAGGATTTGATTTTTTATATGATTCCAACACCTTTCCCCAAAGACAAAACATATCCAAAGAATAAGAAATTGATTTTTATGAAAGTATAACATTAAAATTATTGTTGATTTTTTCATCATTATAAATTTCTTTTAACAAATTAATATAATGAGTAATATTGATAATAAAATAAATGATTTAGAAATTAGAAGATTAATAACCGTTATCATTATCATCACGATATAATAGACTGTTTATTCACTTCAGACTCTCCAAAATTAAAGTTTTCTTCAACATGTTGAGATTGCTTTTAACATAACTGTCTACCATAATCATCATCATATTCTTCATCTTTATTACCTAAAAATAATTTTATAATATAAAATGTGTGTATATATTATTTCAATGGATTTCACTTTTAGAAGAATAAGAAGTTGAAGTATTTGAACTTCTTCATTGTTTAATGTCATTATTAAATCATACATACTATTAAAATATTTTTGTTGGATAAGGAATGGATGACGGAAACAAAATATTACATTAATATAGTATAAATATATAAAGATCATTTATATATATACCTGTAGTTGGTCTCATTTGGAATTGAAGTAGACTGCAAATCTTTAATAGTGATCAATAAGCCTTATAATATTAATATTTTTTGCTTTTTTTTCTTTACTATCATCGTCCATACATAACTATTAAAATATATTATTGTCCTAACACATATTAAACATACACAACATATGCTAATGATATATTCATCATTTTTTAAAAATGTTATCAACAGCAATGCATTTAATTACTTTGAAATTTTCTACAAATGCTAATTTATAATCAATTTTCTCATGGTTAACTTTGAATTTAATAGGAATATCGGAATTGAAAAGTGCCTAAATCTAAAAGGATATCATCCTTGAAATCGTTTGCATTTATTATATATTGTTTAAGATCTTTAAGGTAATCTGCATCAATGCATAAAAAACTTTTTTCATGATTTTTTTTCTTTATAAAATGCAAATAAATTCTTTACTGCCCAAATATTGAATTTCTGGTTTATAAATCTTTTATTGCCAACTTGCTTAAACATCCAAGTGCTAAAGCTGAAATATTAAGCTCTTTATTATGTCATCTAAAGTTGAATAATTAATAATCTATATAATTTTTTTCAAAAACACGTTGAACATAGCCATTATTATTTTGTTGTTTGCTTACCTTTTCTCTCAGTAAAAAATGAACATTTGGCCGATACCCTTTTGAATTCCTATTTCTTATGATCAAACCTTACTACTATCCATCAATAATTTTTTCAGGCCCTCCTTTCTTTCGGATCCAAGTTTTGTTTAATTGCCCATCTTCTTTACTCACGCCTTACTGGTTTCTCCAGTTTTATCAAAAAAGAACTGTAAGTTTGTAGTTTATATAGTTGATGATTTGATAGGATAATTAAATTGATGTTCATCTTCTGTAATTTTTGATTTGGGCGCCAGTGGTAACTTTTCTTTCCTAAAAGGAATCAGGTTTCAATAAATTTTATTTCCAGAATTTAGTATCTTTGATTCATATCAAAAAAAAAAGTTCACTTACAAATTATTAAATATGCGACTAGCTTTATTATCCAAATCACTTTCATCATTTGATACGAAATTATAATCTAAGCCCATTGCAATATGACTGCAAACTTCATATAATGAGGGCGAAAGGGGGCCAGTCAAAATCGATTTTTTGACAGCGTAAGGATTAGTATTGACTACTTGATCCCATTCGTATGTGGTAAAAGTAGAATATGGACATGGTCTAATCAACACGATTATTGACTAAAATATAAATACGAGAAGGTTAAATTGGTATATTTTCAATGAATATGCAATGAAATTATAAATGCTTGCAATATTTCACACTTGTCTTTCCGTGTTATTTTTACACCATTTACTACATTTTTTATTAATTGCATTTGGTATTCTTTGAACTTTCTTGACATTAAATTGTGTTTACGATCCACTAAAACGAAATTACAAATTTTCAGTTATATAAATTAATGGTGCCATCTGTAAATAGTTTGGCTATTCTGTAATATGACAACTTTTCAATTATGCAGTTGTCAGAAAATCTGTAATATGTATCTGTAATTCTATAATTCTGTAATGTAATTTTGTAATTCTGTAAAATATGTTATGTAAATTGGAAATTATAAATCAAATCAATTTTTTGCAGTTTTATTCATAAACTTTTTAAATTTAAAAAATTATAAAAATATATATTATCATACATTGTAATAATCTTCAAAACCCATTAATTCATGAGCTACTTCTATGGGATCATAATCATCGCCTCCAGTCTCTTCATCAAAAAATCCACATCTAATTCTTCTATTATATTACATTTCATTTAACACCTTCTCCACATTCATTGCATTCGTTTGCTAAATGAGAACATAAGATTCCGGGTTTTGCAAATGCCCCATTTTTATGACAACTTATACACTCACCTTCATATATACCATTTCCTTTTTCTTGACCTTGAATAAATTGCCTCCATACACCTGTAAATTGTCTGCCACGATTAATAGAATTGCTTGGTTCTTTTCTTGGTCTTTTGTTCATTATAAAAAATTTTGTTAAAAGTTTATTTTTTATTTTATATATATATATATAAGATTACAGAATTACAGATACATTTACATATTACAGAGAATTACAGATTTTGGCACTTGGTTGCAAATAGTATGACAATTCGGTTGCTAGATACAACTTGGTTGCTAGATACAACTTCTTTAAATCTGATTTACAGACGGCATCATTAATATAAATAAATTGATGGAAATCAAAAGTTCGGTTTATTGCATACCTCGTTCCTTGATTGAGACTCTATCCGCTTTTTTTAATTCATCCAACTCGAAGACAATTGCTTCACTTTCACTCTTGTCATTCTTGTTTTCACTACTATCGGTATGTTCAGGAAAGTGATTGGAAGAGTCATTTAAGGATCCAGTGATCTTCTTTTCGCCTAATCAAAAATCACAAAAAAAATCAATGATTAAGTTTCAAAGATAACTGGAATACACTGGTATTGCTCACCCTCTCTGATTTCTCTCTGTAATCTGAATCTGTATTTGATTCTGATGGGCTTTCAGCATAGTTTACTAGTTTCTTTTCCTAAGCATCACTCCAGAAGAAAGATGATCTCCTTCCTAAGGAAAGTCATAAAAAATATATTTATGGTTAGAAAAGAATAGCTGTATAACCGGGCGTAACTTAAGGACCTACCAATTTATGTCTTTCACTCCCAGACTCAACATTAACAGTTCCAGCAACGTTCTCAATCCCTAGAGAGTTTCCTGACAATGAGTTTCCCAATAATGTTGAATTGTAGATATGAATTGAAGATCCACCACTTATTTTGCTCAATTTAAGTTTTTTCTTTAATTTAACAATATCTTTAACTAGTATCCAATTTTCCACCCCACCAGGTCAGCGAATAGCTAGATCAGCTATTGGCTTTGAACATCAGACAACCGATTTGGTTACCAGACAGGTCACCTGTGCCCTAGTAGGACCAGTGTTGGGTCGGCGAGTGACTTTTGAACATCAGGTAAGCACTTGGCCTTGAACATCAGACAACCGAGTGGGTTACCAACTGGATCGCTGTGCTCCAAAACTGGTTTTGTGACTCAGCGAGTATATATGCCTTGAATGACAAAGAACCTGGGTCCCTGACACACCACTATTTTTCATTTGCATTTCTGACTAAAATTTTTTACTTATCTCTATATCTTTTAAGAAGCACTTCTGCTTTTTCCTTTCTATTTCCTTGCTCACCACTAACAATAATATTGAGGCATCTAATGTATTGATTTACCTTCTTTTTGAATGGTTCAAGGTCGCATACTTCTATAACTCTATAATGTCCCATTTTGAAGGCTTTTGTTCAAAATAATCAAAACATTTAATCTTTTTTCTAGACATTCTATTTTTGAAAGAAATTCCAGCAATTGGATTGGCAAGGATTTATGAGTGTTGTTTGCGAAACATTATGGAAGTGAAGCAAGAACTTACTTTTTGTCTACTGCCTATTATTGATAAAATTACAAATTGTATTTATTAATATTAATAATATAATCTGAACGTGGGGACTTTAAGTGATACTTGCGCTTATGAAAAAAAAAAATTTTTTCAAAACAAAATTCTGATTATAGCAATTGAAATAAATTCTTTTGAATATATATTTTAAGAATCCACTGGGATCCACACAACTTTATACACTAGATTTTTTACATATAGGGAACTATTGGTCTAAAAACCCGTTTATTTATTTTTTTTGTTTGATTCTATAATTACAAGTTAGTAATTGTAAACACTAGACCACTAGCTAATACTCTACCATGTTTGCATTTAAGATCTTGCAAATAAATATCCAAAAAAATGATGGATACTAAACAAACGATTTCTGGAATTCATAAATATTTGTTTAAATTTGTACTTGCTTAGTATTAAACAATATTAATATCATAAAAAAGGAAAATCCTGAGAGTAAATAACAGTGAATATATTATAAAATAGATAGAAAGACAAGAATACCTTCATAATAATAACAATATTTGCCCATTTGTGAAAGATGAATTTAAAAGATATTACTTGTCCCAAGCCAGCACAAAATGTAATTGAATAATTTTATACTAAATGAAAACGTGTTAGATGACACAATTAACACTTATGTTTTTCTTAATCTTCACCATTTTAATAACTAAAATAACTAGGAGACATAACAGTTTGGTTTTGTCATTCAATATTACTTATTTATGCAAAAAGAAAATTATTTGATATGTAACTATTAAAATACTCTTGTCATCTTAAATCAACTTGCTCTTTGCAAATAGCCTTGGCTTGAAGAAAAAAGACAGATCGGACAATTCCATGAACTACGACATGTTTGCAAAATGCATTTATATCATAATTTATGTTATCTTTTATTTTAATTCTCAATTATTACTATTATAATTTCTCCTTTACCCACATACAGTATGTTAAGAAAAAAACGGCAGTAACAAAAAATTGCATATCTCAACAATTACATAACATAATTAGATAAATTTAGATTTATCAACTACTTTGTTAAATAAAAAAAATAAACATGGAATGCTATTGCCAATTTTCTGTAAAGCTAATTTGTATCTTTTTTTTTAAAATTTTGTTAAATTTTTGTCTGAAATTTTGACATGCTAAAATTTTAACATAATAGTTCTGACACAAAAATATACATAATAATCATACAAAACATTATATCAGTTTGTAACGAAAGTTCTGGAGATTATGTGTATAAAATTTCATACAGATTTCTAGAATTTTGTCAACTGGAAATAAAAGGAATTTGATTATTTTGAAAAAAAAAACAATTCAATACGTAAATTTCTTTAATAATTGCTCTAAAGCCTACATAACAATATGCTTCAAAAATTTTATATGTTATAATCCAAGATCTGGTATAATTTTGATTATATAATTTTGCTACTTTTTTTTCATTAAAAACAATGTTTTTACAAACCGCTTTTTTTTCTTAACACACGTATTTATTTATTTATTAATTAATTGATTGGCAATTGACTTTTATTTAATATCTTAGATCAACAAACATAATCTTATTTGTATTACGAGAAAATAATAAACAAACAAAATCTCAGGTCACCTAATATAGAAGTAATTCGAAACACAAGATATAATTATCAATATTTATCATCTTACAATCATCTACTGATGTTATCGTTCCCTGTAGGTATACACGATGATGATTATCTTTTCGTTTGTTTGCGCGTTAATTTCTTTATATAAAGATGTAAATATTCATTAGAATTAAAAACTTTTTTAACGAAGAAATTTAAAAATTAATCAACTTGATTTCTTTTTCAATTCTTTTTTTCTTTTTTTTTTGAAAATGTTTAAAAGTTTTATTAGATCTCCAAGTCCGATTCGTGTACCATTATTACACAGCAATCGTAGAATTTCTTCCAATTCAACAATAACTTCACTATCATCAAAATTATCAAAAACAACAAATAACAACAAGATAAACAGTCGTTGTTTGCATCAAAATGTAAAAAATACTAATACTACATATGCAAGTCGAATTTACAAAAATACCACATCATCAAATTCAATCTTTAACACTACACCAATAGCTCTCTCTTCGTCAAAAAATTTGAATTCTTCAATTCGTCACCCTCTATCCACCACCACAAAAATTTCATATCATTTTTACAGTACAACCACAGTAAATAATAAGCAATTAAATGAAAATAAAAGTGCTGCAAAAGATGTTAGTGAAGAAATTTTCGCATCAGTTCCTAAAGTTGATGTTAAAAAAGTACTTGTAGTAGGATCTGGAGGTCTATCAATTGGTCAAGCTGGTGAATTTGATTATTCTGGTAATTTATCATTATCATTATCATTTATTATCATTGCTATTAATGATATTGTTGTAGCATGGAATTAATTAAATCTTTTTATTATAATTATGTATAGGATCACAGGCTATTAAAGCTTTACGTGAATCCGATGTACACACAGTTCTTGTAAACCCCAATATTGCTACAATTCAAACATCACATGCTTTAGCAGATACTGTTTATTTCTTGCCTGTCACTGTTGAATACTTAACCTATATTATTGAACGTGAAAGACCTGATGGCATATTACTTACTTTTGGTGGCCAAACTGGTCTTAATGTTGGCATTAAGTTGGAACAAATGGGTGTTTTGTCAAGATTGGGCGTGAAAGTTTTGGGTACTCCAATTCGTACTTTGGAAGTTAGTGAAGATAGAGATCTTTTTGCTAAAGCTTTAGCAGGTAATTATCACATATTCTATAATTAATAGATCAACAAATCAACAAATTGATAATATAATAATAATAATAATAATAATAATAATAATAATAATAGCAATAATAATTAATAACAACTAATAAATTATTTTTAGAAATTGATATTCCTGTTGCACAATCCACTGCAGTAAATACTGTTGATGATGCACTTAAAGCAGCTGAAGAAATTGGATATCCAATAATTGTTAGATCTGCATTCGCACTTGGTGGTCTTGGTTCAGGTTTTGCTAATACACCTGAGGAATTACGTAGTTTGTCCACCAAATCTTTAGCATTGTCAAAACAAATCCTTGTAGAGAAGTCCATGAAGGGTTGGAAAGAAGTTGAATATGAGGTGGTTCGTGATGCTGCTAATAATTGTATTACTGTTTGTAACATGGAAAATTTTGATCCATTGGGCATTCATACTGGTGACTCAATTGTGGTTGCTCCAAGTCAAACTTTAAGTGATCAAGAATATCATATGCTCCGTACTGCTGCAATCAAAATCATTCGCCACTTGGGTGTTGTTGGTGAATGTAATGTACAGTATGCTTTGAACCCTGAAAGTCTAGAATTCAAAGTTATTGAAGTTAATGCTCGTCTTAGTCGTAGTAGGTTAGTATTAATGGATATTTTGTTTATATATTTATGTTTATATTCTAAATTCTATATTTATAAATATTTTGATATATACAATCAATCAATTTTTTAATAGTGCACTTGCATCAAAAGCCACTGGTTACCCACTTGCATTTGTTGCTGCAAAAATTGCCTTGGGTCACACACTTCCTGAACTCCGTAATGCTGTTACTAAAACAACAACTGCCTGTTTTGAACCTTCTTTAGATTATATTGTAACAAAAATTCCAAGATGGGATTTAAGTAAATTTCAACATGTAAGACGTGAAATTGGTAGTTCAATGAAGAGTGTTGGTGAAGTAATGGCTATTGGCAGAACTTTTGAAGAAAGTTTACAAAAGGTATTTATAATTTCTATAAATAATAATAATAATAATAATAATAATAATAATAATAATAATAATAATAATAATAATAGTAATGTGTCTTGTACATGCATCTTTATAGGCTATTCGTCAAGTTGATCCATCTTTCAAAGGGTTCCAATCCATTCCATTTAATGATCTTGACAATTCATTGACAATACCCACAGACCGTCGATTATTTGCTGTTGGTCAAGCAATGATTGAAAAAAATTATACAATTGATCAAATTCATGATCTTACCAAGATTGATAAATGGTTCTTACACAAACTAGGAAATATTGTCAATGTTCAACATGAATTAAAACATGCTGGAAAACTTGAAAATATTTCAAAAGAATTGTTACAAGAAGCTAAAAAGAAAGGATTTTCTGATGCTCAGATTGCCTCATTTTTGGAAAACAATGTTACTGAAGATCAAGTCAGGAAAGCTAGAAAAGATGTTGGTATTACACCATTTGTTAAAAGAATTGATACTCTTGCTGCAGAATTTCCAGCCCACACAAATTATTTGTACACCACATATAATGCTTCAACTCATGACATAGATTTTAATGATCATGGTTCTATGGTGTTGGGATCTGGTGTGTATCGTATTGGATCATCAGTTGAATTTGATTGGTGTGGTGTATCAGCAATTCGTGCAATTCGTGACATGGGCAAGAAGACTGTCATGGTAAATTACAACCCAGAGACTGTTTCAACTGATTTTGATGAATGTGACAGACTTTACTTTGAGGAACTTTCATATGAGAGAGTTATGGATATTTATGAACAAGAAAAAGCAGAAAATATAGTTGTATCTGTTGGTGGTCAATTACCACAAAATATTGCTTTAAGATTACACCAAAACAATGTTAATATAATGGGTACTAGTCCTGTTATGATTGATAAAGCTGAAGATAGATACAAGTTCTCCAAGATTTTGGATCAAATTGGTGTTGATCAACCTGAATGGAAGGAGTTGACTAGTGCTGAAGAAGCTGAAAAATTTGCTGATAAAGTTGGGTGAGTTGAATTAACCAAAAAATCAAATTAAAAAAAAAAATTTTTT